CAAAGGTGAGCTCAATGCGACTCGACACTATTTGAGAGCAAAGGTCAAAGGTTCAATATCGTTCGATATTAAACCTTACACCTTTAACCTTTCGGTAACGGAGTAACTTTTGATTTACTTTTTATATTGGGTACTTCTCAGAATTTATGGATGTCATTACTACAAACTGTACAGTTTCTGTAATAAAAATATTTTTCGGACATTCAGCTAATTTTGGTTCCTAAGAACTTATTAAAGATTGCTCTCATATACATTAAATACACAAAACTTCTCTAGAAATTAATTTAATCGTATTTAAATATTTAAAACCAAGTTTTAGTTCAGATGTCGTTTTTATATTGATTTTCTTCTATATACAGGTTAACTTAAAAGTTACTAAGATATATTTTAGGAGAGTGAATCACCTATAGCGTGCAGCTGTTCGAAGTAATCTTATATATATATAACTATTAACTGACTTTTGGGCCACCCTGTATATCTATAAAGTAGTAAAGATCATTAAGTTAGCATAAAAATAGAAGAATAAATTTCCTCTAGAATTGAATATCGTTACTTCTACAATATTTAATTTTGTTTAAAAATTGTGATTTATCGAGAACATATTAAAAATTTGGCAGTTCTGAAAGAAGTTATTGCGCGAAGTATCGCAGAGGATCAATTACGATCGGCCGTTAAAGATGTACAAAAGATATACGATGAAGATGCTCTTCATCGTACACCTTCAGAATAGGGCCCCATTAAGTAATATGTCCTGCATTGATAAGGTTTCTAAAAGTCTTCTAAAAGGCCTTCTAAAAGTATTACTGAAGTCGTCACTAATACTACGAGTAATATTGTAATTAAAGAACTAAATTTTCAAATTTAAATTTGAAAAATTTCAATTAAGTATTACCAAATTTTAGATTTACATATAAAATATGTTGCTAAGTGATAAAATTAAGTACAAATGAAGAAAATCAGTTTTCATTTAGGAAGTTGTTAAATAGTACTTAAACGTTGAAATATAGTTTGTAAGAAATATATTTAAGTCTGTTTTTCTTAATAATTTCGCTTTAAAAAACTTAAAATAAGTAATAATTAGGGCTTCTAGAGTATAAGATAGTGCTGTACACTTTCCTTTGCAGCACCATCTTATATACTCTAAACCACTGGTTTCCAATTTATTTTGACTCGTTGTTTTCTTGATAAATCATGCAAATGTTGTATTATATTTTATTATTATTTAAATATTTAGTAATCAGTCAAGGAGGCCTCGCCTTTCTGAGGCCCAAATATAGCGTATTAAGTAAGCAAACTAGTGTTAAAATATTGCGTTATTTTTTAAAAAAATAAATGTGTTTTTTCTTAATAGACAAGAAATACAATGAAATTTGCAATGATATATTTTTAAGGCCTAAATAAATGTGAGGTCCGAACTAAAATGATAGAGGCTGATAATAACAAAGAGAATATGTTCTAAAGTAGAATAATAGTGAAACTGTTATATGGTTTAATGTCACTCAAAAATCACTCAACCGAAGATATGTGCGAATGAAAAGAATTAAGAGATAAAGAAGATGAAAGAAAATATTCCCTGAAGCGAGTTAGAAAACAAGCTATAAATACAGGAGAATCAAAGGAGAAAAAACGAAATAAAATACAGCTGTCCCTTGATAATCCGACAGGTATGGGACCAAAGATGTGTCAGATTACCAAAAGTGTACTGATTACCAAAAGTGTACTGATTACCGAAAGTGATTACATATTTGGCATTGTTTTGCTAGCAGTAGCCTACAATATTCCCTACTCCAACTGTTCGAACAGAACTGCTCACGGAAAACACACGAAATATGTGTCATCGTGTAAGAATTGGGTGGGGAGATTCACGTCACGACATGCTTCTGTGCAAGCAGACACGTAACGGGGGACGGGTACCTTGACTGGAGGTGCGTCGGACTACTGAGCATGTCGGATTATAAAACGTCGGACTATCAAGGGACAGCTGTAATTGATAGAAAATATTTACCTCGAAATTGTATCAATAAGCAAATACTTATAATTAAAAAAAATAATGGATTTTTTCATACTTTTCGGTTATCCGACTTTTCAATTATCCGACCAACCACAGTCCCCAATTGGATCGGATAATCGATGCTCTACTGTATAAAATGATTACAATGACCAATGTTATACATAAGTTGAAAAACAGATAGAGGATTGCCCTAGGAGCCAATTTGAAGATGAAATTTTAGGATTAGGAAATATTAAATTCTAATTCGATCTATCGAAAAATTCTGTCTCCAAAACTACCAAAATATTTTTAAATTAAATAAAATCTGATATTATAAGTTAATATTAAAATTCAATGTACAAGGTAACTTGTTATTAGATTCCTTCACTGCTTATTTAGCTTTAGATAATTTTTTTTTTGTGTTGTTGCATAAATATTTCAGTAATTTAGCAAAATGAGTACGAAATTTAAGGTATTGATCAACGAAAAAATAAAATTAAAAAGATTTTTAAAATGCAGCTAAATAACAACAGATGCGCACAGAACAGAATAGCTTATTTGCATAGTGAATCTGACGAAGAACATGTAAATGTCGCATACATTGGATTCGTTGGAGTTGAATGAAAGGATTGTCCATGAGGAATCTTAGTAACATCCTGCTGTGATCCTAATTGTTGTTTGGCTTCCGCTTCATTTTTATACATATTTATTCCTAGTATTGGGTGGAAGATTTGGGAACTTCGTTTCTCGATGACCAATAGCTCACTTGTCAGATACTCAATACAGATTCAGTTGTAAATTTTCTTTGAACAAGACTAAGTACCATAATCTCCATATCAACATCTAAAAGAAAAAGAATACTGTATTTATTGAGTTTTGGTTTATATACAGAAAAACATCTTATACAATGAGGTCGTATAAAGTCCATCCTCAGATTGCTCGACCGAATGGTGACTTCATAACTTACTTTTAAAACACTATATTTTATATACAGTGCTTAACTTATTTTAACTCTTTCGACTTAATTCGACGTCCGGTATGTCTGTGACGTTGTTGGAAGCTCCTCCCGTTTTCACCGCTCACTGCGTAAGAGCTTTACGATCGCACTGTAAAAGAATTCTGTTAAGGCACAAGAACATTTAAACAATGACAGAGTAGCTTATAAACAAACATCAATGTAATTTTAAAGTATATTGTCTTCACGAAACTTTTAAAACAAGTTTTTAAGTTTTAAAACACTTTATACTTATTGTTTTTTAGAGAAACTATCAGTTTACTTCTAATATATTTATTTATTTATTCTGTTCGTAGCTTGCTTAATTGGATATGAGAGAAAGATTTTCTGAAAAAATTATATCTGTCATTTTAAGAAAATAGAAAAAGATTATAATTTAAAAAGACCTTATTCCTGTAATGCCGTATCTGTTACCTGTGAAATGAAACGAATACGATTTTTTTTTTCAATTTAAACAAGATTACGAGAGAATCAATAAAGAAGCCGACACAAAACGATAAAAATTTATCTGAAAACTCATCAATTTATTCATGAAATTTAATCTTAATGGAGAGTCTATACATCAAGAGAAACTCGAAATTTCAATAAATAATGAGTGTTATTACGATCGGAACTTTTAGATAATTATCAAATACAGTTAGAATTTAATTTACACGTAGTCACACCGTACATAAATAATTTATTTGGCTTTATAAAGACTAAATATAAACATATTTTGCCACTTAGTAAAGTAATTCCCCACTTACTGAACTACTGAATTATATATGTATGAGGACTGTCGACAGCCAAGGCGATAAATGCACTATCCTACTGCTTTGAGTGTTCACAAAGTTAGTTGGGTAAGCGAGTATGGTAATAATAAGTATGAAAATTTCTGAGTCAAACTGCGCTCCTGATCGACTCAGGAATTTTCATGGGATACTTATTTCTTAATATATAGAATTTATAGAATAAAGAAACTTCGGAAATAATATTTGAAATTGATAATTCATATCAAAAACAGAAATCGTTCATTTCATTCCTGAAGTATTGATTTATGTATCTGAATTTTCGGTGGTATCACCATTAAAGCACAGAGCTGTAGGGTACGAATTTGTTTACCCTTTTTGTAGCTTAATAATTCCTGTGCTTTTTGTCGAAATTTTCTGAAATTATGCGGATTTTTAGTAATGTACTGATTCATGTGGCATTTGTATAAAACATGCAATACAGCATGCAGATCTTATGCTATTTTAAAACACGGTTCCAAAGCGACTAAACATATAATTTCTTTATTTAAATGAATATACAGTAGAGCCTCGATTAACCGACACCTCGGTTAACCGACCGTCCTAGTCGGCAAATTTCAAATGTCCGCTAGTGATGTGGCGCTACAATATTTGGCTATGTCTTGGCTACTTTAATATTATTTTTACGTGTTTTAGCTGGCAACACTCATTCGACCATGAAAGGGAGCCAGTNNAATAATATATATTAAGAATATATATTATTATTAAGAATATATATTAACCACGAATAAAAAAAACCACAGATAAAAATCTAAAACCACAAATAAAAAAAAAGTACCAGCAGGGCGGAGAGTCCAAAATACTGTATAAATATAAATATGCCTATTATATTTACAGAATTTAATTTGTATTTAGACTATTTCTATCCTCATATTCTTTTTTTTTAATCTTAAAATTTAGAGTTGTATATTTTTAAGAATACAATACAATAATTCACTTGTTTGCAATAAAATACATAACTTTTTAAAAATTCTTTTCGCCCTGTGTACACAAAAGCCCATTATGGATTAGGCCAGATCCATAATGGGCGGTCGGGTGGTGAGACCATCCCTCAAAAAATCTGGGGCTTTTCGATTCCGAGTCCTCCATAGAAGTAGGCCGCCACCTTAACCGCTTGGCCATCCAGCCGTAAATACAACATATCTGATAAAAAGAGCGCAAATAGTATTAATTTAAATTTGGTTCAACGAAAACACATTAATGGCCATTAAAGAAAAAATATATTTTATTTTAGCTAAGAATATAAATTTTAAATTAATACTAAGGATTTAATTCTATTTAATTTTCAGATTTATTCCTTCAATTCTTCTCTTGTTCTTCTTTTGTAAAGATATATTCTCTTGAGCCACAAGATCCATGTTTATCTTTCTAGTATATCTCTGCCATTGTTGTAAAATTCTTCTACTGGCTTGAAGTATTGGCTTAGTATTTGGAAGACAAATTGCTAATTTCTCATAAATAGGTATACATATGTATTTAATAAATTTTATTTGATCTTCTGGTATTCTATCCTGTGAATCTCTATCCATCATTGAATTCGGATGTATTCCAATTTCCTTTTCTTTATCACCCTGATTGTAAAATTCTTCATATATTTGCTTTACAATTGCAACGACAGTTGGCCATGGCTTACACACTCCAGATAAATCACATCCAGCCATCATGATTTTCTTCAAACATGTTCTATTATCTAAGTTAGACCAAATATCTGGTATTTTGAAATCTTTACTTTTCATAATATTCGTTAGGTTTCTTTTATTGTGATGAAATGATGCAAAGTCAGTTGCCAGAATCAAAGATTCAATGCTACTTAAAACAAATTTATAATCCAAAGTAGATAAATCACATAAAACGTTATTTTGATCTTCTTGAAGAATGAATATTGTCATATCGAAGTGATGATGCTCTAAAATTGATTTTGTATACAAAATCGCGAATGGGGATTTAATCACAGAATGGTAAGAGTTATTAAATCCTCTATGGTCTATATCATGACATATGCATGCAATAATCATGGCTTTCACTTCGATAATCGAAAAAATATTCCTGTTACTTTTAATCATTAAATACATACAATGAGTCACATTGAAAGCATGAAAGATGTTATGATATGGAATCTGACGATAGCATTTTATAACTGTAATTATAAAATTGCAAAGTTTTACTAATGGATAATTATTTATCCCTAACAATTGGTCACATAAATAGATAAACAATTTAGGTATTTCTTGAATTGATATATCGATATATTTGAAATGAATAGTGTCGATATCTCTTGGAATTACTTCTAAACTAGGATTTTCTAGAATTGTCTTTACAATTGAATTCTTCTTTTGAATGTGATAACGTAGCATTTCTGATGATATACTTAAGCAATTAATTTTCTGTTTTTTTAAATAATAAAGATATTCTAGATGCAATAAAAAAGAACAGTAAGGTGCCATACACCTCACTATAGTTTCATGTTGATCGTTGAAAGGAGGATGAAGAAATTTCAAACCTTGAAGGACTCCAAACAATTTTTTAGAAGAGATAATTGGATAACAAATGATGTTTTTAACTTCACATCCAATCATTTTTAATACTTCATTAGAATATCTACTTTCCTTAGTGCAGTCTACAATATTAAGTAATTTTCCAGATGAGGCACAAGAGCCACAAAAGCCTTTACCTATTTGACAAGAAATCTTCGACTTAACGATTACATCACCTAAATCAAAATATTTTGCAACCAATTCGTTTGTTTTTTCTTTAAATATAAACAAATTAACACGATCAGCCGAAAGGAACGATTTAATTCGCATAAGAATTTTCGGTATAATGACTGTAGTCTGATCTTTGTCAATCGTCAATAATCTTAATTGTGGGAAGAATTCTTTTGGCATGCAATTATTGCAACGTTCCAAAGAATCTCCACATAATGAAAAACAAGCCATCAAAGAATCAGAAATAAACTTGACAATATCATATTCATTTTTACTAAATATGCCATTTCTTCTACAAATTTTAATAACCATATTGTAATGGGGATAATTCGATGTTATATCTATTTTCATTGACTTCTTACTATAAGTAAGCACTGTTTTTGCTTTAGACGGTAACATAATGTTATCTGATGATAATTCTTTGCATGATTCAATCGTTAAATCATCCGATTTTAATATTTCTTGAAGGACGAAGCAGAATTCTGATAAAACTATTTTCTTATCTCCATTTTGTATATGGCAGTATAAGTCTTTGCATAAAGATGAAGAATTGAAATATTCTTTGGAAGTATCATTTTCTGATTCTCCTATCATCATCTTTAACCATTGCTGTACAGTTTTTAAACTGATGTTCCTTTCAACATAAGTCTCGAATAATTCTTCATGATGTAGGAGGAAATTCATTATCGCATCACTCAAAATATCATCTTTGACATGACTGTTATATGTTAGCCAATTAATTATTTCGCGAACGTTTAAAGTATTTGCACAACTATAACGAGATTTGTGAGGCATTTTTGCTCAATTCTTCATTCTAATGTATGTTAGATATATTAAAATATTAAGTCATTGTCACGAAAACAAAACAAATAATAATAGTAAATAATTATTGTTAATTTAATTAACAATTGAACTTTGTTATTTGTGTGAAACAATTTTTAATATAAACTTCATCTTAGTGTTCAATGAATATGCTGTACAAATATATTAATTTATTTACAAATAATTTTTTAATTTCTCGATTACATCCTCTCAAGACAATTAGAATAACAAATTTTATATTAAGGATTACTCTAAAGAATTCGGCTTCTACTGTACTATTTTAGATGCGGTTATTTGCACTTTTTTTGTGGAAAATCAAACATATTTTTAAATCCATATAAAAATTCTTTAATTAGCTTAGGAAGAAGGGGATCTAATTCTTGTACCCAGTGAAAACGGGTAAAATTGGCTATAAAGTGAAACCTAGCTTAACGAGCACCTTTCATACCGAGTAATTCGCATAACGAGTAAAACAAATTGTAAAAAATGACTTCCTTAATGACTGACGAGGAGAGGAAAAGTCCTGGATTGTGGACAGGCTACATCAGTCTGTGTTTAGCACTCGTTCCGCTAGCATCTCAGTGTCGCTTGTAATCACACATCCAAAGTTGTGTTCAGACATGTTACATATAAACATCAACAACCATAACCCGTTATATAATAAACACGCCAAACAATATTCCAAACTCTTGGGCTATGTAAAAAAGATACGGTATTGAATAAAGTAGATGTGTGGAGTCTGAAGTCTTAAATCATCATTTTATTGTAAAATAACTTATTAAAAAAATATATTGCACACGATCAAAAAGGTATTTGTTGAGGCGTGCAAAAGAGGAAATTGGTTAAGTGTCGTTTGCAGCTTTGTAAAAAAGATTTATAGTGTTTTAAGTTATGTATTAATGTGGAAGGAGATGTGTGATGCCAGCTGCTGAGTAAAATATTTACATTCTGGCAAATAAAAAGTCAAATGGAAAATTTAACAATGTTTATTAACAACTAAAATTTAAGGAAAGAACCGGTAAGAAGTCCTCCAGAATAGTGAACCGAAGGGTTACACATATTTAGTATAGCCCATTACAAAACAAAGAACGAGTGGCAATTTACAGAATAATAATGTAACGTCAAATTGATTTAAACTTATACAGAAGTTCGTGATATATACTATTCTGAATTTATTATGGTAAAATATAATACATAATACTTATTTTTCTTTAAAATATTGATTTTAATATCATTATAAAAATTGTATGAAGATTAGAATGTAATTCTGTTATAAAGAATCTTCTATCAAATTTTCAACTTTGTATTTTTCCACGTTTCAGGGTCCCCTGAGTCCAAAAATATAAAATCTTTGAATCATTTTTTTGACCTACGGCCATACTTTCTGTTACATAAAAGACAAGAAAATAAAATAAAACAAAATAAAATTTAAAAATATAATTAACTCGATGTAATCGATAAGATTACTTTTAGACAATGAAATTCATTTATCTTGTACAACACATCATTAATACTAACAACAAGATAATTTGATCCGAGAATATCCTATTTAGTTTTAACAAATCTTTCATTTGAAGGATGTTGTATTGTCCATAACGAGTGTTGGTGACATTGAGCCTTCTTCTCATTCTGTGTTCATGCTTTATCATTTCGTTTGTATTGTATTAAGGCCTTTAAATGCCCATAAAAAGAATTCAGAATTTTAAAGATGTTCATATAATTTTAAAATTTAATTTCCTTCATTAATATTTGATAATTTTGAAATATTTTTAACATTATGTCTATGCATTAACTCCACTAAAATATTGTAATTATATAAATTAAAAACTTCTTTGCATAAATTATTTTAAATAATGAAATTCGTAATAATATTATCATCAATTTTATGATAATTTTCAGTATTAAAATATCAGCAATTTAATCTATTCGAGAAATATTTACGTAAATATCAATATTAATATAGAATTTCTACGCATTTTGGAGTATTTAATAGCTTTGTAAGATAAACACAGCATCCAATAGTTAATATTAAAGCTAGACAATATTAGTAAAAGAGATTTTCATAGATAATTTAGTAATTGCAACGAATTTATATAAACTTTTACTACTTTTACGCATATTTAAGAAATTTTTAAAGAAAAATAAATAGTAAATATAAAAAAAATCACGTATAATTTTCATAAACTTTTATAAATTAAATCATTTTAATGTAAATTAATTCGATTTATTTACGTTAGATTAATAAATAAATAGTAGACTTATCAGTAAGGTATGTTCAGTGTTTTCAATACCTTACTGATTCAAGTTTTTTTGATAAAACTCATAAAAAAAATACTAAAAAATGAAGAAATGTTTATGTAATACTTTAAGAAAATCTTAAAATTATTAACTTTATAAAAATACAATTTAAGCATTTTCATATTAAATCCTTAAAGGCATTCCATTTCTAATACCACTCTAATTGCAAATACGATAAATAAAGAATTAACGTTTCATCGTAATAAGCAATTAATAATGCCAAACACTTGAGAATAAACTTACCTAAAGCTATATAATTAGGTAAATTATAAAAGCATGCACTAGTTTATTCTTATAAATAGTTATTTTTATCAATACAAATTCATAAAAATTCTTCTTATGAATGAAACTACTTCCAAGTATTTTTCAAGATAGAATTTGCTATTGAATTGAGAATTTTAATGATATTTTTCTGATAAGTTTAATCTATTAATTAAAAAAAATTGAGCTTTTTGTATGTAATTATTTTCTAACAGCAGAATTTAATTATGAATCTAAGCGTATGAGTTTACATTATACAATTTTATTAAGTGGTTTATCGATTAAATTTGATCTCTAAATTTAATTAACAGTGCAAAAACTATATGTTTTTTTTAAATCTCATTATAAATGATCCATTATCTTTACATTATAGAAAATAAACTTTTAATTTATTATTATAAAAACAAAGTTTAGATTATATAATATTATTGAAGCATTAAGAAATAATTAAGCTAACTAAAGTTCAATCTTTTAATGAAATTTGTTATAGTAATTAAATTTTATCGCTATTTTGGCTTTTACTAAGAGAAAATTTGCGTTAAACACAAAAAATTTTATATCTATTCTTTATAGGGGAGATCGGGGCAAGATCGGCATGTTAAGCTTTACTTAAATTTTGTGTAATAAATACTGCTGTAAACTGAAAAAAAAGCTTTGCATATTGTCTATTGGAATGTTACCTTACTATAGAACTGGTTAAAATCAGTTTGGAAATAAAAATAATTAAAATAATTACAACTTTACAAGAAGAGAGAAATTGACGAAGTTGCCCCGGGTATAGGGGCAAGATCGGCAACTTCTCTCTTTTTGTAAAGTTGTAATTATTTTAATTATTTTTATTAAAGTTGCCCCTGGTATAGGGGCAACAGTAATGGGGCAAGATAGGCACGTATATAAAATTATGTTATTAACAATGTATAAGTTGGAATTCACTATTAAAACAAAGAAATACAAATCCAACACCCATTTAATATTATTACAACGAAATGCAAGTTCAAAGACATATATACATGAATAACAAATGCAAACATGTTTTCATTTATCATCTGTTTGATTTTTATCCTTTGCTTCTAATGTGGCTTTATGTTGCCGATCTTACCCCGCTAGTCATGATTTCGAAACATTAAGTACAACCCTGAGAACAGAATGCCAAGCCACGATCTGGCCACGTGAATAAGTTGAAGTTACATCCTTCTAACAGGAAAAGTAACTTTCGTTATCATGGAATTATAACAAAACCTGCCAATTCAATATAAATGGAAAAAAAATATTATATGGAATTGAACGAAAATGAAAATTTGCTTGATAATTCAACTACGCTTGTTGGAGAACAATAAAAACACTACACTCAACAAGCCACCAATAAAACTCAACTGCCTAACCTATAACCAAAGTCTCCTTTTAATTTGTTTTTTAAAAAAAGCGCTTGACAAACTTGCCCCGCATGCCGAAGTTGCCCCGGTCTCCCCTAAATGCTATTTTTATATGGCAAAATAATATAAAATTTCCTTCTGTTATTGTGAAAAATAAATTAAAAATGAAGTTTTCTAAACAATAAAAACATGAATTATTTTCTTCTCGAATGATAAAAGTTACTGACTGTTAAAAAAATAAACTAATTTATTACTTAAAGTTCATGTTTAAAATAAAATTTTTTCTATAAAATAGTTATATTTTGACAGTTTGAATGATTGCTTTCTATGGTGAATCCGTATCATAAACAAATTACAGGAGAAATGTATCATGAACAGATCATAAAAGAAATGTACCATGAAGTGATTGATACAACAAAGAATTCAGAAGTTTTTAAAGATGTTTATATGTTAAAAAATAGAAGAAGAAATTATTCTTTCGATAAAATTAGATTAGCAGTTCAACTGAAGTCTGAAATTCACGAACTTCTTAGCTATTATTAAATAGAAAAATATAATTTCAAATAAATTTATTCAAAAATTATTAAATTATTGTCACTGAATATAAATATTATAACGACTGAAATGTAAAAATAAATTAAAGAAAAAGAGTCAAACAATATATTTCCATACTTTAAAATTACATGATTAATTCAATGACCTGAATACATTTCTTCAGATTATAGAAGAAAAGAATACAATTCATCAAGCATGAAGAAGTGATAAAATAGAATTTGTGGAATACAATAGAAAAAGCTATTTAAGCGTTAAAACGAAGATAAAAATAATTATTGAATAGAAAATTCTTAATCTAATTAATTTGAAAGAATTTCGAAATAAATTAAATTCGTTTTTATTTTTTCTGATTGTACTTTTGAAAAATTATACAATTGGTTGCTTTGGCATATTCTGGTATAAACAGCTCCTATCAAAGGGGAGACCAACAAAACATTATTTTCAAGGTGTCACATTTATGTAGACCTCAAATATACTGTTACAAATCATTCATTTTCCATTTCTTATGTATTAAGATAAATGACCGGAACTTTTTAAGAGTTTCCATCAACGGCAATAAACACTAATAGTCCGTTCCGAGTTCGAGCCTCACCGGTTGGGATGGGCTAGCCAGGTAACGTTTTATGGATTTTCTTCACATGTCTAACACATAAATAAATTCTAGTTTCCAGTGAGGCGTTGTCCTTGGACAAAAAAGGCAATTGCCTTGGGATCCACACCAATCTTTTATAAACTCATTATTGTAGCAAGAATATCGAAATTTAAATTTGGTGGACCGTAGATTGTTTGTGTGGTGCAGGCGCAGCGCAGACCCTCCAGAGATCTCGTTAAAAACGAGGATACCGGAGATTATCCCCAAAAATGTCTGAAGTTAACATTGTACGTGGGGCCCCTAATTCAAATTTTTCTGGTTTCCATGACATTATAACGCGCTACTTCTAGTTTCTCAAAAGAAGTCCTCCCGGAGGAATCCCTCTTGGCAGATTGCTCATATCTCGCGTTGCCCTTAATCCAATCTAATCAAATCCAAGTCTTTACATTGTTACGAAAAGAATTAATGTAAAATAAAAAACAAATTGATATGAATTTTTTTTATTTTCGTAACATTCATCAAAATATACATCAATTCATATTATTAATAATATATTTTAAAATATAGTATTAACCATAATTTTACATATATTTTATATTATTTAATAAAATAAAAGTATTTTGTAAAAAAAATGTATTAATTTTAGAATTTTCTCAGCAAATAGAACAATTTGTAAATTATTACGTTCATTGTTATCAAGTTTCGCACAATTCAGTTTGTGATATTACTACGTCTAAAGCACTCATCGGAGTCTTCATTCCAGCAATAACATTTCCTTCTTTATGCTTATGATCACATAAACCAGCTTTTACGATCTGTTCTTCAGTCAGTACTTCATCCCATATATGTAAATCTACTATATCACCGTGCCATGATTGATTAGCATCATAGCCGCCATCAAGAGCATCTTGGTCTTGTCCCAACACAAATATGCCTCCACCGTGGATGTAACCACCTTTACCTATGATACCTTCGCTATGAGAAGTAGTGAAACATTGTTCTCCGTTAGTATATACTTTCAAATGTCCGTTTGTGCTAAACCAAGAGGCACATATATGATACCACTCTCCAACTTCCCATTTTATATTCGGGCATTCGAATTCAATGAATTCGTTCATAACATCGATTCCTACCTTTAGACTTCCACTTATGTTAGAAATGCATCCAGCAAATTCGTTTTGAAAACGTTTAGCATAAGAGAAAAGCATAGAATATTCTTTCTGAAATGAATGAGGTTTTATCCATAGACATAATGTACATTCTGTTAAAGAAGGAAAGTTTCCATCCATACGAAGACGTGGAAAACCTTCGTTCAAACGTGGGAAATGAATTTTAAGAAGTGAGCACTGTGATAACGTGAGAAAGAATAAAGAACACGTTATAATGAACAACATATTGTTTCTGAATTCTGCCTGAAAATATATATGTTAAATGACTTAAATTACATATGTAAGTAGTATTTGAAGAAATATATTCTGTTAAATATAGCTTAAATTTCTCAGAAGATTTCATATGATTTACGCAATGAAACATTATCTGGAATGTATGATTATCACTATTATCAGTTCTATTACATAGTATTTTATATCATATTTTATTTTTTCTTATTTAAATATATATCAAATTTAATTTTAAAAGGTTTATTCCATTTGTATGTATACATTCGGGAAAATAGAATTTTATAAATTCTTTTCAAAACAATTTCTAAATGAGAGTTACAATGATATTTAGCGAAATGTTGGTTAGTTTGATGTAATTTTATTATGTTCTAACCTTGAGTGTATTCGTAAATAAAGAGTAAATAATAAGATCCAAACAGACAAATTCCCAATAGATCAACATCAAACCAGTTGACAATAAGATTAAGTGTGATGCACAAAGAATTTATCCTCACTTTAAAATAACATCTTATATATATATAAAATTAACTTTAAAATACAGTATTTAAATTTTATTTATTTACATTATAAAATATATAGTGACATCAATTTACTTTATCATTTTTATCAAGTTTTAATATCACTCTTTTGACAGTTTTTATATTAATTCTAAAAAATTTTTCTTCTTCGATGATAAATTGCACATATACATTTTGAATAATTAATTGTAAATATTATTTCTGATTATTAATTAGATTTAAAGTTAAGTTTGATTAATGATTATAATGATATTTAAAATAAATAATATTACACTCCACTACAGCATAAATTTACTTTGCCTTCATTAACATAAAGTGCTTGAGTAGAAGTAAACATGAAAATAGACTTACATTACCATTCATTATTCTTTATTAAATTTTTAATTCTGTAGCTTGGAAGAATAAGGACCAATATCAAAGGTCATGAAATTGGCCTTTATTCTTACAATCCACAGAATTATTTAAATATATATAACAGGATTATAAACAGAACAGATTATAAGAGGAAGTTGCATCGCGAAATGTTAGACCCCCCTGGTATTAATATGAAAGTGAATAATGTTACGATGTTCATTAAAAATTTATAATGCTGAAAATTCGTAGGTAATTTAATCTTCTACAATCCATTTACATTGCAATTAATCTACGTAATATAAATTTCGTTTGGTAAATACTTATCTTATTTATTTTCATAGCCTGTTTTCGCCATTAAAATTATACATTACCTTAATATTGTAGAAGATTGACATGATTGAAATAAGACTATAATTTTAAGAAATTGTAATAAGTTGTAAGATGTAAAATTATAATAAAAAAAAAGAGTGAAAGTATGAAAACAGTAATCTTCAAATTAAATTGTCTTTATTTTAAAAGAATAAGCCAAAATTAATTATGAAAAATGCATCAAAAATTGTAGAAAGAAGTCGATTTTGGAATTGTAATTAATTACTAATTGCACCAGAATGCTTTTTACAATTGGATTTAATTTTTTCCTTGAGACCACAAATAAATGTAAACGTTACCCAACAATATTATTTTAAATTTTTAGGAATTGAAAACTGATATTTCAATATCTAAGAACTTCTATAATATAATATTGTAGGTCATATTACAGTTATTGATAATTAGGTTATATTTAATGTTAGGTAATGTTAAATTCTCTTCGCAGGAATCCGCTGTAGATTCAAAGTTCTGGAAATACTTCATTTTTTCAAGGAAATTCGAATATTATTGATATTTGATATTGGTATTTTCTTTCAATAGTTAGCAAGGTAGATAAGAATATTGTATAACGGTTCGGCAATTTGTATTCCTGTAAAATTACAGTATATTTAAGTGTTTTGTGTAATTAATAAGGTTTTTCTGAATCAATACTGTACATGGGGTCCCCTAATTCAATTTCAATGAAGCTATAATGCTCCGTTGTCGATGATACGTCTCTGATTCAAATTGTACTTAAATAATTCTAATTTAATTTATAATAAATAATGTCTTCTTTGAGAATGTAATGAATCTCTTATAATCTTAAAACAATTAGCATTTTTTAAAAAATTTTGAAATTATATTGTATATTTACAATATAGGAAGTTTGTAGCATACTGTAAGAGCTACTGTATATGCCTTTGGCATAAATTTAATCAAAAATTTCCTAGACTAATAAATAAAAAATCATTTTAATTAAATTTAAATAAATAAAATCAATAAATTGTTTGCTCAATTTCACATATTCAGCTAAATATTTAACATTATAGACTAAGAAAATCAATGTCGACATTGATTAAATGTCCCATATTTGATGAAACATAATTAATTGTAGAGAAGGATTTTGCTAAAATCAATCTGTTTAAGTGTTTTTTTTAAGCCACGAGCATTCTATTTTTCTATAATTCCTCCGACATTAAAGAAACTCTATAATTCTGTAGTGATGATCTTAAGTAAGCAACACGATATGTAGTAATAAAGCTTCGAACTATTCCAAGTAGGTAGTCAAATATTTATATNTAAGTGTTTTTTTTAAGCCACGAGCATTCTATTTTTCTATAATTCCTCCGACATTAAAGAAACTCTATAATTCTGTAGTGATGATCTTAAGTAAGCAACACGATATGTAGTAATAAAGCTTCGAACTATTCCAAGTAGGTAGTCAAATATTTATATTATATAGAGTGTTTTATTTGTATTTTTAAAATAAATAAAAGTAAAGTTTTCTTTTATGATTTATGATCATCATTTCCGACAAGTTAGTAATATGAAAGTTAAAATTGTTAATAAATTTGGTAAAGAGGAAATGTGAAAGAATTGGGGTAAATATTTAATGTTAACTCCATTCTTCTCTTAATAGAAAAGTTACTCCAACAATAAGAATCTCTTCTACATTTTATATAATAGATATTTTATCTGTTACTACTGTAAATATTACTACTGAAATCAATCAAACCAGATGTTCTACAGTATCACATATTATAATAAAGGAAGAAAACTTCTATATTNTTCTCTTAATAGAAAAGTTACTCCAACAATAAGAATCTCTTCTACATTTTATATAATAGATATTTTATCTGTTACTACTGTAAATATTACTACTGAAATCAATCAAACCAGATGTTCTACAGTATCACATATTATAATAAAGGAAGAAAACTTCTATATTTTAAAATATAATGCTGTTGATTTTCTTGAAGGTAACATTAAAATCTCTTCATTTCGTTTTCTATTTTTCAACTTTTCGACGGACTTTATCCAATTCTGAGCAACAACTTTTTAATCTTTTGACTTAATCTTGTATTTATATTATGGTTTAACCAATAAGATTTGATAGAATTTTTAAGTTTACAACAACAAGAATGGTTGTTCTGTATATTTATGGATTTCTATTGTTTCACATGATAGGTTATTATGCTATTCTCGACATTAAATGTAATGGTTTTTTTTTTTTTGTCTTTATCAGCTTGCCATATCCGAAGAATTAAACTTATAGAGAAATAAAAGAAGTACATAGGTCTTTAAGTACATACAAAAGTCTACAAATTAAATTTCTAGATTAACTTCTTATTGAACAGACATACACGTTGAATTTATATACTCCAAATGCTAGTAATTTAATGGTAATGCTAGTAATAAATTATTAATAAATTACATTTACGACAAATTGTTGTCATATTTAACGACATCTTTGGCGTAAGACATTATAAATAAATTAGTGAATTTAACTTAAAAAGTCTTTAAAGAGTGAAAATAATCAAATACAATTTAAAAATTCCTTTTATCTACTTACTTTTAAGGATATTTCTCTCTAATTATCTTACATTAAATGTATACTAAACTCTAATCTAATCAGAGATGCATATATTTGAGAGATTAGCATACGTTTAAGTAAGGTATGCACATTCAACTATATAGTCTAAACACCTTCTAGAATATAAAAGACATATTCATTTTAAAATATAAGTTTTTAATTACGTTAAATTTTTAAATGTAAATAAAACGGTTTAGTGAATATTTATTTTGTAAAACTAAGGGTAAGATAAACAGCAATTACTTTTTATATGCGCATGGATAAGTTTATTTGAATTATTTTTGAAAACAAACTATTATTTTGTTACTTACAACTGAATGCTTGGATAATTTTCAAAACCACATATATGTAATTTCTTCTTGTTTGTATTAAGTTACGATATCGATTTCATGTTTGAATTTACTATTTTGAAAACAAACACAAAGTTCCATTATCTGCATTATTATAGTGGATTTCACTGGAAAATATTTTCGTTTTGTAAGAAAATGCATTTCTTATTACGTCTTTTATAGCAAATATGAAATCACATTAGAGCAGAAACATAAAAAGATGATATTTACATTTTTTACCATTAAAAATAAACCAAATTAATAAATGTACCTTTATAATTTAATCTAAATCGAGTATTTTGGGTAAATTCGTCTCTTTCATTTACCTAAACTGAAGTGTAGCATAGATTTAAAACAGCCTGCGAGCTATAATATAGGCTCTACAATAATGGATGATACGTGATGTACTGATGAGGAATCAAAAATATTAAGTGTTTTTAGTAATTTTTAATAATAATGTTAGTTTAATATTTAGTAATTTTTTAATTACTTACTATGTATTAACAGTTCTTAGAGCACTTTCTCATTTAGAGTCCTTCTCTACACCTCTCTCGTTACTCTTCTGATTATAATAAAAATATATATACAGTAAGTGTCAACACGTTCCCATAATTGATGGACGCTTTCGGGAGGAGCTGCATAGTCAAACAAACGACGTTTAAGAAGGGACCATGTGTGTTGAATCGGGTCGAGATCGGGCGATTGAGGCGGCCACTCAAGCAGTCTAATATTTTGATCTCGAAGCCACGACATTGCCCTGTATGTGTGTTTTGGATCATTATCATGCTGATAAATGAAAGAGCTCCTATCAATGTAGTAATAATCAACAGATTGTAACAAATAATTGTCAACTATCTCAGTGTAAATAACGCTATTCATTCTATTAGGTATAAAACAG